GCAGTGGAGTCCTGCGGCTGGGTGGGATATAGGGCAATGAGCGTTGAGCAGTGTGCGATGAGCAATGAGCAATGAGCAGTGAGCAGCCCCTCCCTAAACAAAGTGAAGCGCAGGACGGGGTCCGGTGGATGGGAGGCAAGGAAACGCGGGGGGTTGCCACGTGCGCTACCGCCGCCGCCGCAGGCAGCACCCCTGCGGCGGCGGCAGCGGCAGCAAGCCGTGGACCCAAACGCCGTGCCGCCGCCGCCGCAGGCAGCACCCCTGCGACGGCGGCGGCAGCAAGCCGTGGACCGAAACTCCGTGCCGCCGAGTCCCGTGGCTGTGGCCGTGGGCTTCTGGCAGGAAACTACGGCCGCAGCTCGGCAGCACGGGGGCGTCGCAGCGTGCCGCCGCCGCCGCGCTGCCCCCCGGGCACGGCGGCGGCGGCAGCAAGCTTGGGCCCAAACGCCGTGCCGCCGAGTCCCGTGGCTGCGACCGTAGACCGTGGGCCGGAAACTGCGGCCGCAGCTCGGCGGCACGTGGTTCTGGTCAAATCGCCAAGCGTGCAGCAGCGCCGAACCACGCTTCCCGGCCTCGGCGCATGCCTTCAGGGGCCCCCTATCGCTGGGCACACCCCTCCAACACCGAACATGCGCCCGGGGGGGAGGGCGGCCCGGGCGGCCCAGGCCAAAGTGGGCCGCCCTCGAGCAAGAGGCGGCCGGGCTGTGTGCTGAATGAATGAATGAATGAATGTGTGTTTGTGACTTTTTGTGTGTGAAACGCAATGTAGTGGCTTGAAAATCAGGTATATTCTGAAGGCGGGACTCGGCGCCTCGCACGATCCGCAGTGAAAAAAGCCGAGAAAAAATGCGCTGAGCTCTGGCTTGCTTGCCCAGAGGAAGGAAGAAGGATCATGCCCGGCAGACAGGTGGACCAGGCTGGAATCTTGTGGACAAGGCTGAGGCCAGCGAGGCGGGAGTCGATTGGTTCGAGCGAAATTGATGACGCAGGGGCGGCTGCAGCAAACGCATGCAGTCACCGCGCTGGGAAGGGTGTCTGCCACTGCCGCTGCCGTTCCAGCACTGCGTCGTGGGAGGGGCTGGAGGAGTGGGCCCATGGTGGGCCGACGCGAGCCGAGGCCTGCCCCTGCATCGACTGCTGCCGCTGCCGCAGCATGGCTGCCATGGCATTGTAGGCTGGGCCACTGGCCGGCATGCTCAGCACAGTGACAACCCTAGCACCATCCAGCAGCTGCAGCCTGGCAAACGGGGAGCTGCCACCAGAGGGCGGGGTGGGTGGCGTGGCGGGACTGCCGCCGCGGGACTCCGTCCTGAGGAGCGGCTGCTGGGTGTGTGCTGCTATGGCCATCCTGCGAGTAGAAAGGGCTGAAATGAGGCTTCCAGAGTCTCCGGACCAGCCTAAGAAATTGAGGAGGAAGCCAAGTGCTTCCAGAGGCTGAAAGCTTTGCGTTCCCACCTGACAATTGGGTCTCTATCGGCAAATGAAGCCTTGGAAGTATATCGGGCCTGGCTGCTGCAAGCGCTGGTGGGTGAGTTTGGAGCCGGTAAACTTGCAGGGCGTGAGGCGATCGCAGAGGTGGCCGAGCAGGTCTACTGACATGCGGGACGGCGATGGAGTGAAATGGGAGGCTGGAAGAGCCGCACCGTGCACGTGTTTGTGCCCGGGCATGCCAGCCAAACGCATGCCTCCGGTGGTCATTGATGATTTGATCATCAATGGTCATTGATGATTTGATCATCAATGCAGAATATAACCAGCTGGCGAAAATTGTGGACAAACAGGAACGCCACCATGAGCGACCTGGACAGGACCGCCGCGCCGAGCGGGGCGGCTTTGTTGCCGCTCACTACCGCCGCCCCCACTGCCACCGGCAGGGTGCCATGTTACACTGTAGCGGGCACACGAGTGCATACAGGCCGAGCCATGGGGGCTATCGGGCAGAAGGGAGGGCTGGAGAAAGAGGACCTGGCGACTACAAAGAGGTTGGTGTCGGCATTGCCAGGCGGCGCCAGGTGGTGAATCTAGCTAGAGAAAGAGGGAGTATGGGGAGTATGATAAGCAATAGAACATGGCCACGGTAAAAATTTAAGTGAGGAACAGCCCGACCGGGCAGCAGTAGACTTGCAGCCAGGCGCTGGCCCCGCAGGGCAACACCAGGAGGCTCCTGCCCGCCTCAGATGTCCAGCTCCTCTAGCGCCAGCCGGCTGCCGTGCCGCTCAATGAGCTCGCGGCGCGGCCCCACCTTATCCCCCATCAGGAGGGCGAACATGTGGCTGGCCTCGGCTGCAGCGGGGCAGGACAAGCAGGCCGGTGCATGAGCATGTGCATGAGCGGGTGCATTTGCATTATGAGAGGGGCATCAGTATAGAGTGCAAGACCGGCAGCAGTCGGGGTTTGGTGAACGCGGGCTAGGAGACACCGGCAGCAATCCAGCGCAGCCATGGCAGCAGCACTGTGTCTGTGCGGGCCCAGGCACCGAGGCAGACGCCCCCGTCAGACCCACCCGCATCGTCAATCGTCAGCTTGCGCAGGGTGCGTGTCTCTGGGTTGAGGGTGGTGGACCACAATTGCTCCGGCATCATCTCGCCCAGACCCTGCAAGGGCCGAGGGCGCAGGCGACCGCACAGGCGACACAGGCGTCTGGTCCAGCAGCAAACGGGCAGCGACCAGCAAAATGGCTGGGCAGGCCGCCGAAGCAGGCGCACCTGCTCAACGCTGCTGCCCGGCCGTGCATGCTCAGAGCGACACAGCCGGGCGGTTGGCAGCAGGCACGGCCTCCACCGGTCGCACGGTACGCCCCATGCCCCGTGGCCCTCTCTGCCGCCGAACCCACCTTGAAGCGCTGCATGGTGTAGCTGCATGGTGCCAGCTCAGCCAAGGCCGCCTTCAGCTCCTCTTCGGTGTAGCAGTACTGCGCGCGGCGCCCCACATCCAGCTTGTACAGCGGGGGCACGCCGACATACACATGGCCCTGCGGCAAGGCAGGGGGGCCAAGCATGCACGTGTTGGTGGTGATGTGTGCGCGGTGGTGGTGCCCGTGGGCGCGTGGGGTTGCGCCTTGGCCCCGCCTGGCCCACCACCCCCCAGCCCAGTCCAGCCCAGCCCTGCCCCTCCCACCTTCTCGAAGATGGCTCTCTGGTAGCGGAACAGGAAGGTGAGCAGCAGGGTGCGGATGTGGGCACCGTCCACGTCAGCATCAGTTAGGATGATGATCTGTGGCAGGGGCAGGCATACTCAAGCACGTTGATGTAGCTCAGGAAGGCCGGCGGGCCGTGCCTCCCATTGCAGAGCAGCAAAAACGCAGCGCTTGCATGGCCAGCCTGACCACAGCCGCCACCCCCGCTCGCCGCTGCCGCAGGCCATCGTGCTGCACCCCTCGGTACAGCTCCTCCTGCACCGCTTCTCTACTGTTGCGACAGCTGTACTGCTGTACTGCACACCTTGCCGTACCGCAGGTTGACCGCATCCTCGCCCTTCAGCCCCAGGCCCAGCCCGACAATCAGGTTGGCTATCTCGTTGTTCTTGTACAGCTTGCTGTCGTCCTGCACAACAGAAAGGCAAGACGGAAGAATGAAAGATGGAATCGGCGCAGGCAGGCAGGCTGGCACACCGGCGGCGCGGCCAATGAGAGCTTCCGGCTGCATATGCGCAACACAGGCCCACCCCTGGCAGACTGGTGCCCCAGCCAGGCAAGCAAGGCCGCCTCGCCAGCCCATGTGAGCTTGCCTGCCTCTCCACGTTCAGGATCTTGCCGCGCAGGGGGAGCACCGCCTGGTACCGCCTGTCTCGCGCCTGCTTGGTGCTGCCGCCTGCGAGGCAGGGGACGGCGCGCAGCGCGGCACGCACACTTGGCATCAGCCAGGATACGCATTGGAGACCAGCCATGGGCTCACCATCATTTCATTCCACACACTCACACACACACACCACACACACCAACGCAGCACACAAACACACACATACAGTACACACACACCAACACAACACACACACACCATAACATCAGACACCATACACAACACAACACACACCTGCCGAGTCGCCCTCCACCAGGAAGATCTCCGTCTCGGCCCGGTTGGTGGAGGAGCAGTCGGCGAGCTTGCCGGGCAGCGTGGACTTGGTGAGCACCGACTTGCGGCGCACCAACTCGCGAGCCTTCTTGGCCGCCTCGGCCGCCTTGAAGGCCTGCGGAGGGGGCCGGGGCGGTGGGAGTGGGTCATGTCAGGGCGGCGGCGCCGGCGGTGGTGGTGGCTGGTGGTGCCGGTGCCGGTGCTGTGTGTATGTGTGTGTGCGGGGTGGGGAGGGCAGGGACGCGCTGCTGCGAGCACGGCTGCTGGCAGTTCCACGCAAGTGCGGGGCCATGCAGCGAGGCCATGCAGCTGCCATGCGTTCCACGTGGGGGCTGCCGATTCTGAGGGCCTGGTGTTGCCCGCCCACCTGCATCGCCTTGGCCAGGATTGTGTTGAAGGTGGTCGGCTCCATCTCCAGCGCCTCCCCCACCGCTGCACAGGGCCAAAGGGGCAGGCGAGAGAGAGCGATGGGGCGCCCAACCCGCCCCGCCGGATGCGCCGCCGGCCACCCCTTCCCCCAACCAGGCCGCCACCTGCCGGCCACCTCCCCGTTTACAAACCGCTGCCGGCAACATCCACAGCAGCTGCCTCCCCTGCCCGGCACCGCTCTGCCCCCCACCTGAGCTGACCACCCCCTCCACAATCCTCCGCACTTCCGGGTTCCCCAGCCGCGTCTTGGTCTGCCCCTCAAACTCGGGGTTGGGCACCTGCACGGCGAGGAGGCGGGCCAGGGCGCAGTCGGAGCAGGCAGGCTGGGCCATGTAGGGACAGGCCGGCACACAACCCACCCACCCTCACCCACCCACCCATCCACACACACACGCGCGGTCGCTGCCCCTGCGCAAGGCCACACCCAGCCGCGCCTCACCTTGACCGACACCACAGCACCGAGCCCCTCCCTGATGTACTCCCCAGCCAGGTTGCTCTCCCCCTCCTTGATCGCCTTGAGCTTGCGCCCCAGGCTGTTGACTGCAGGGGGGCAGCCGCAGCAGGCAGCGTGGTGACCGGGGGGCAGTAGCGGTGCGAGGGGGGCGGCAACAGCAGCACCCGAGCGTCAAAGGCATAATGCCTGAGGCAGAGGTGCCCATGGAGCGAGTGCACAGGCACTGGTGCGAGCAGCTGGCTGGCTGGGAGTGCCCTCCGCGCCATCCAACCGGCCCCGCCCCACAAGCGCACCGGTGCGGGTGAGTGCGGCCTTGGTACCGTCGATGTGCGTGCCGCCGTCTATGGTTTTGATGCTGTTCACAAAGCCGATGATGGTGTCGCTGCAGGCATGCGATCAACAAGCAAGCGGGGTGAGGTGGGGCGGGCAGGGCGAGGCGAGAGGAGGCGAGGGAAGGCGAGCAGGCTGGCGGCGGCAGCACCTGAAGGCGTCGCTGCACCACTGCATGGCGATCTCTACAGTGTAGCCATCCACCTGCAGCCATCCCCAGCCACACAGCTCAGCGATTTGGTGGGACAGAAAGGCGGGTCGCCGCCCGAAAAGGCCCTGTGACGGGCACTGACACCCCCTGCGAAGCCCGCTCGCCTGCTTGCTGAAGCACAGGGGCTCGTGGATGGGCACTTTGTCGCGGTTCAGGAACCGCACATACTCTGCTAGGCCGCCAGAGTAGTGGAACACCTCCCAGTCCGGCTCCGCCTCTGCCGCCGCCGCGCCGTTGCTGCTGCCGTTGCCCTCTGCCGCCGCTGCTGCCGCCGCGCCGTTGCCGTTGGCGGCCGCCGCTTCGCTGCTGCTGCTGCTGCTGCTGGCCCGCTTGCTGGCTGAGCCCTTGGCTGGCTCCACCGCCCGGAAATAGATGGTGGCTCGGCTGTTGAGGAAGGCCAGCTCCCGGAGGCGGGAGCGGATGGTGTCAGGGTCAAACGTCGCGCTGCAGTGTGGCAGGAGGGGAGGGCGAGGCGAGGTGTGACTGGTGTGGGCAGATGCGGGTGTGGGTGCAGGGAGGCATGTGAAGGGGGAATGGAGCGCGCTAGGCGCAGGCGCCCACATGCCACACACAGGAGGGAGGGGCACAGCAGCGAATGATGCAGCGCAAGCGCAGCCCCACCACTGCTGGCTGCAGCCAGGGAGGGCCCTAACCGACTCACGTCTTGCTAAATATGGTATCGTCGTAAATGAAGCGCACGCGCGTGCCCCGTTTCGGCGCCCCCGCCGCAGCCGGCGCCTCCACCAGCGGCGACTGCGCCACGCCGCGGCTGAAGCGCTGGCTGAACTGGCTGCGCCCGCGCCACACCGACACCTCCAGCTCATCAGACAGCGCATTCACCACTGTGACGAGGCAGAGGAGAGGTTGGTTGGAAGAGGCAAGAGTTAGTAGAAGGATGGAGCAAGGGGACCCCCGCTCCCTGACAGGCGTGATCAAGCTCAGCAGGCAGCAACGGAAGCACCCGCTGGCGCAACATGCCGCTGGGTTGCCGCCCCCGCCAGCAGCCCCTGCCACCAGTGGCCGGCCAGCAGCGGTTGCCAGGTCGCTCACCCGACAGCCCCACGCCGTGCAGCCCGCCTGACACCGAATAGCCGCTGGAGTCGCCGCCAAACTTTCCGCCCGCGTGCAGCACCGTCAGTACCGTCTCCAGCGCCGACTTTCCAGTGACTGGGTGCACGTCGGTTGGGATGCCCCTGTGTGCAGTGCGGCGCGGTGCAAGCCGAGAGGGGCGTGTTGGCCAGCCAGGGAGGGACAGCCACAGGCGGCGGCGGCGGCGGCGCGAGCGCGTCGAGGCCGGCCAGCAGCTGACAGCCACAGCCACCCCCACCTGCCGTTGTCGCTGATGGTGACCCATCCGGTGTCCAGGTTCAGCTCCACATGCACCTCTGCAGCAGGACAGCAGGGCAGGCAGGTGGGAAGGCAGCACGTGGGCAGGCAGGCGGGCGGGCAGGCAGGCGGGTGGGCAGGCAGGAAGACAGCAGGCAGGGAGCACGAACGTGAGCAGCAGCACATGGCTGCACGGAACAGCAAACATGGCCAGTCTGAGCGCCAAGCGCGCGCTGCCAGGCGACAGCGGGCATACGGGCTGGCGGGTGGGGCAGGCGGCATGGGGCCGGTTGGCGGGCACCCGCGGCGCACCTGTGGCAAACCCTGCCTGCACCTCGTCAATCGCATTGTCCAGAATCTCATACACCAGGTGGTGCAGGCCGCGCTGCCCTGTACTGCCGATGTACATGCCCGGCCGCTTGCGCACCGGCTCCAGGCCTTGCAGCACCTGCGGGCGACCGAGGGCATGGGTGGATGGGAGGCGGCGGCGGGAACGCTACGCGACGGTGGCGGCGGCAGGCAGGGCTCCCGCTCAGGCTTGGCCTGCATCGAACGCCTGGCCCATGCCTCCATGATCGCACCTGGATCTGCTGTGCGCCGTAGGATGTGCTGGCCTCTGCCGCCTCGGGCGCGTCTGCGTCTGCCGCTGCGGGCAGGGCGGCAGCCGCCGACAGGCGGCGCTGCTGCTGCTGCTGCTCGCCACGGGGTGCGGCTAGCTGGCTGGCCCACACGGCGTGCGCTCTAAGGCTGCCCCCAGGCTGTGTGCCGCTGCTGGTTGCGCTGCACGCAGCTGCGCTTCGAGTGCACTGGCTGGCCAACAGGCGGGTGCCCGCCGCCAGCTGCCGTGCCGCAAGGCGCCTCATGGCTACGTTGCTATGCAAGGCCGAGTGCTGGGCTTGCATGCTACAGCCGGGCGCAAATTTTCAGTAGGGGACGGCCATGCGGCGAGGGCCGGTGAACTGGCGATTGAGATCGGTTGCAGGAGCAAATGGGGATGTGTGCGGATGGCGCGCTGTGCTTCCCCATGGCTCACTCTGACCTGGCATTCTTGAACTTCACCCGCTTCCTCTCTCTGCTGCCGCATATGCCCTGTGCATTCGTGCTGCAATACGAGCGAAAGCTTACGACTGCTTCTGCACAACAGTGACAAGGCGATCGCAGCAAAACTGGCAAAGGCGTCCTGCCCACCCTCGAAGCAGCCTCTGGAAGGACTGGGGTGCCCGCACAGGACGCAGGGGCTGCCAGAAGGCAAGGGGCGACCGGCTGCGGCATTTACAGAAGCATGTCGGGCTCCAAGCGGCCTCTGGGGGACATGAAGAAGAAGGGGAGCATCCGCTGGTGCGCCATGCAGCAAGCCATCCACCCGCCACCTGCGCCCAAGCCGCTAGGGCACCTGCCGCGGCTGCCGCCACCGTTGCCGACGCCGGCGCAGTCTTCTGCTTTACTCACAGCTGCGCTTCCTTGCGTGGCGCAGGGATGAGGAGAATCTGGAGGAGAACGAGCGCATCAAGAAGGAGCTCAACCCACGCAAGATAGGTGTGTGTGAGCGCGGTTTGCAAGTGGCTCCCTACCAAGCCGCGTAGCTGCCTGCTGGCGTGCCACAGAACAAGCGCCAGCATTGACAGGAGCAGCTCGCCACTGCGCCGCCTGCATTGTCCGTATGGCGGCAGTGGCTCACCAGAGGGGCGTGCTGCTGGCCCTGGCTCGGGAGTGCAGATGAGCCCAAGACGCCTTACCTCTCACCCATGGACACTGATGAAGAGGGAGACTTGGGTGAGTGGGCCTCCCTGCGTTGCTGGCTGGCATACGTCGGTGCCTGCTCCGCTGGCTGTGCCCTGCACACCACCGCCGCATCACAGTCGGGCACACGAGCAGCGCGTGTCAGAGCTTCGCAGCGCATGTCCCCCCCGGTGCTGCAGGCACCCGCCTGAGGCCGCTGTCGCTCGACGATGCCGCCACCGCGGCTGCGGCGGCGGCCTCCGCAGCGGCAGCAGAGGCCGCGGGGGCCTCCGCCTCTGCAGGCACCACCTCGGATGAGGCGGGCCCCTCGCGCTCGGGGCGCGGCAGGGGCAGGCACGTGCGCATCGGCGGCCGCGGCTGGTCGGACAGCGACCGAACGGTGAGCCCCAGCCCGCGCCACCCGGACGGCGGCAGCCCCTCCAAGGCGGCCAGGAGCCCTCGCTTCTCAGACCAGTACTACGACGGACTGCATGAGCATGATGATGAGGGTGAGCCTGGGGTGGGGCGCCGGCGGGGGCGTGCTTGCCGCCGGGCGCTGGCTGTTGCCGGTTGCCGGGCGGCGGGCTTCGCACTGGCAGGGACCGCACAGAGCAGTGGACGCTGCAGGGAGCAAGCTGAGGGCTGGCTATCTGCGATGCCCGCGCATCGCGAGCGCTTGCTTTGTTCCGTGGGCCTGCTGTCATGCAGACGAGGATGAGGCGGCGGCGGCGGACCCGCTGCGGCAGGAGAAGCGGCGGCGGTTCAAGGAGGCGCGCAAGCAGCACTACAACATGCGCGAGCAGCTGCAGAGGTGGGTCCGGCTGGCCTGAGCTGCGCTGCCGCGGCTTCCATGTTGGCTGCTCACAAAGTGGCGGTGCCAGCAGCAGCCGATGGTGATGCCACTTGCAGCCATCAGTGGTCTGGAGCCGTGTATTGCTGCGGGCTGGACGCAGTGCTACCCAGAGCGAACACGTGTTCACCTTTGCTGTTTGCTTCCCGGAACCCGCCCTGTTGTTGCTGCAGAGCGCGGGAGCTGATGCAGAGTGTGGAGGATGGGGAGCCTGAGGACGTGGCGGCAGCAGCGCAGCAGGGCCAGCAGCAGGTGCAGCAGGCGGCGGCGGTAGGGCACCAACAGCAGCAGCAGGAGCAGCAACAGCAGCGCCTGCCCAACGGGCTGTCTGCCGCGGGGGCAGAGATGGAGGGGGAGCACCTGGATGCAGATGTGGAAAGCGAGCATGAGGGCTCACAGCGGGGGCGCAGCGCTGCAGGCGGGAGAGGCGGCCGAGGGCCGGCGGCAGCAGCGGCGCCGCCAGACCGCGCCGCCATGTCCGACGACTGATCCCCTGCCTGCCTTTGTTGTCTGTTTCATTTGCTTGTCAACCACCATGCAATAAGCATGCGACACGTGCTGCCAGTTGCGACCCACTGGGCCTGCCCCTTCCCCGCTTGCGCCTCCGCTGACTGGACCTCCAGCATTGTCCCGCGACGTCCCGCGGAGCCAACACGTTTGCCAGGGCTAAGCGACAGGGCTCGAGCGGCCAATCATGGCGTGGCGGAGGAGTGGCGCGCTGCTGCTGGCTGGTGGTGCGGCCTTTGCGGCCACCAGCACCGCCCTGGCTCTGAACGACAATTATTCTCCTCGCTGGATCCATGACCGGCTGCCCAGCCGCGCAGAGCAGCTGCACCGGCTGTCGCAGGGCACGGCGGCAAACCCTTACGACGTGCTGATCATCGGAGGTGAGTTGCCGGCAGAAGTGCAGATTGCTGGGCTGGTGGCGCAGGGTGCGCGGCGGTGCCTGGCGGCAGGCGGCGCCGATGGCGGCTTTGCGGCGGCTGCACTGCTCAGCCTCAGCTCGCTCCCTGCGTGTTTGTCTGCAGGCGGTGCGACTGGCACCGGCTGCGCCGTGGATGCCGTCACCAGGTGAGGTCCTATGGGCAATCCCTACAGGCCACCCGGTCCTCGAGCTGTGCTGTGCCGCTACTCTTCCACGGGCCCGGACCTATTCTGCCTGGCAGGCCCTGGGTCTCTGTGTCCTGAGAACGCTGCTGTGAGCTGTGGCGTGCGCCACCCGCTCATCTTGCCGTTGGCCCTGGCTGCCGCCTGCCTGGCGCAGGGGCCTGCGCACGGCGATGGTGGAGCGCGAGGACTTTGCGGCGGGGACCAGCTCGCGGTCCACCAAGCTGGTGCACGGCGGCGTGCGCTACCTGGAGAAGGTGGGTCCTAGGTCTGTGTGGCGTGGTCGTGATGGCATGGCCACGAAGTGGAATCGGGGCTGGTGTTGGGAGCAGCAGCAGCAGCAGCAGCAGCACTCTGGAATCCTAACTCGAATCTTTCTCCATCCCGTGCATGCCAATGCTGCCGCCCCTGGCCACCCTGCTGCCTCCCCGTCCTTGCGACGCCAGGCCTTCAAGGACCTCGACTTTGGCCAGTTCAAGTTGGTGTTCGAGGCACTACACGAGCGAGGCGTACTGCTGCGCAACGTGCCGTACCTCTCCAACCCGCTGCCCATCATGATGGTGCGCCGCGCCGCCTGCCCGCCAGCTTCCCACGCCTTCTTGGCAGCTGCCGTGCCGATCTCCAGCCGCTGCACGCATGCGCCGGTGGCTGGGAAGCGGGGTGGAGGTGGCGGCTGGCGCTTTGGGCTGAACCGGCTGCCGCGCCGCGCCACCTGCCACCCACCGCGTCCCTGCCTCCTTGCTCCTCTGCGCGCGCCCCGCCCTGCAGCCATGCTACAAGTGGTACGAGGCGCCGTACTTCTGGGCTGGCCTGCGGGCGTACGACCTCATCGCCGGCAGCGAGGGGCTGGAGTGGTGCCGCTACCTCACGCCCTCCCAGGTGCGGCCGCGGCGCCGGCGCTCACGCCTCGGTTTCCCTCTGCTGCCGTAGCACTGGGCTGCCGTAGCACGTGCCACGTGCCGCTGACTGCACAGGCCTGTACCCCGTGCAGGCGCTGTCTCGCTTCCCCACGCTGTGCTCCCACCGCCGCGACGGCGCCGCCCTCAAAGGCGCCATCGTGTACCACGACGGCCAGTTCAACGACTCGCGGCTGGCGGTGGTGCTGGCGTGCACGGCGTCGGCGGCGGGCGCCACTGTGCTCAACCATGCTGAGGTCACCCGCCTGCTCAAGGTGCGGCGCGGTGCGCGGCCTGCCTGTGGTTTCACGAAATGGGGCAGGCGGGGGCCCATGTCAGCCCATGTGGGCGGCAGGCAGCGTTGGCAGCGTAGCGGGGTGTCGGGGGCCCCTCGCCCGTGCAACAGGCTCGGGTGTGCCGCCCCTATCAGCCGCCTGCTGCCCCAGCCGCGGCCGGCCAGCGCTCGGCGGGCAGGCGTGGCTGACCGCCCTTGTGTGCCGCACGCCGCCTGGCGCCCCGCGCGCAGGACGGCGAGGGCAAGGTGGTGGGGGCTGTGGTGCGGGATGTTCTGGCGGGCAAGGACCAAGCCGTGTATGCCCGCACCATCATCAATGCGGCGGGGCCCTTCTCAGATGAAGTGCGCCAGCTGTCAGAGGTGAGCCTGCAGGGCGGAGGCTCCTTCGGCGGCGGCGGCGGCGCCAGGCCGGACTGCAGGGCAGGCGCCGCAGGCGTAGGGAAGAGGCCGCCCGCTTTGCAGCACCTGCGCCAGAATCTCGCGCCCTCCTGCCTTCCTGCCGCCCGGCGCAGCGCGACCAGCCCTCCCCTCCCCTCCCTAATCTTCTTGTTTACACTCACCTGTTCCGACCCGCCCACCCACTCGCCCCGCCACTTCCATGCCCCACCTCACCCCTGCCCACTCCTGCCGTGCACCTGCTCACCCGCCGCCGCAGCCCAATGCCCCCAAGATGATCATGCCTAGCTCTGGGGTGCACGTCACGCTGCCAGACTACTACTCGCCTGAAGCGGGTGGGTGGGTAGGCGGGGCCAAGGCCGGTGCCTCACACCGGCGGCTTGCTGATGCTGTGTGCGAGCCTGGCGGTGGCGTTCCGCTGGCAGCGGTGGCCTCTGCGCGCTGGTGGGAGTGGCAGTGGCAGTGGCTCAGCCTTGGCGGGGCGGCCCTGCACCTGCATCCCCCTCTGGCAATAGAGACAAACAAAGCAAGCTGTGCACGCCCTCGTCTTCCCTGCCTGCCTGCCTGGCTGGCTGTCTGCCCACCCCGCCCCGCGGCCCCGGCCCCTGTCCCGCTCCTCTCCCGCCCCCGCAGTGGGCATGATAGTGCCCAAGACCAAGGATGGACGGGTGGTGTTCATGCTGCCCTGGCTGGAGCAGACCATTGCGGGCACCACAGACTCGTCCACAGAAGTCACCATGAGGCCACAGGTGCAGGCAGGCGCGGCGCGTGGGCGGTCGCGCGGGCCCTGCGCTGCTGGCGGTGGCGGGCCCGCCCTGGGGGGCATGCATGCTTCGTGCGTCTGCCCAGGAGGCGCCTGCTGCCACCCCAGGGCACAGGGCCAGGCTCACTCCGCTGCCTGCAAGGGCTGGGTGGTACAGCCAGGGCGGCGGGTGGGGTGGGCGCTGCGGCTGGGCGCTGGTGCCTGCTGACCTGGCGACCGCCGCCCCCCCTGCTCTGCTGACTCGCTCCCTGCAATGCACGCCGGCCCCTCCTTCCCCCTGTGCCATTGCGCCTGCAGCCGACCGAGGAGGAGATCCAGTTCATTCTGGATGCCATCTCAGACTACCTCACAGTAAAGGTGGGTCAGCGCTGGAACAGCTGGGGGTGGCGCGACGAATGGCGTGTCTGCAGCCTGCGGAATGGGTGGCGCAGCAGATGAAGCGGCGTGGGGCAGGCCTGGGGCTGCGCCTGCCTGCACCGCCGTGCAGGGCAGCCAGCCTGGCCCAGGCGCTGCCTGCCCGCCCGCCTGCGTGTTGTTGCCCGCCGGCCGCAGGTGCGGCGCTCGGATGTGCAGTCTGCGTGGAGCGGCATCCGGCCGTTGGCGCTGGATCCCAACGCATCAGGTGGGGGTTGGGCTGACTGTGGTGTTGGCCTGGCCTGGCCTGGCCGGGGGCCCCTGGTGCTGCCCGGGCTGTGGGCTGCGTGCGCTCCCGTTTGGCCCAGCACCCTGCGTCGTGCCGTCCGCCAACGGGCGCACCGCAGCGCCTCATGCCGGCGCCGCCGCCTCCCCTGCTGGCTGCCCCACCCGACGTGCTGCTGCGGCTGCTGACGGTCATGCTGCGCCCTCTGTGCCCCTGTGTGTGCACACATGTGTGTGTCTGTGTGCGGCGCAGACACGGCCAGCGCCTCACGGGACCACATCGTCACAGT